TGCAATCATGAGATAATAAGTGGTCCTACTCACTGGCAGCCTAGGTGGTCACATGTCACAAAGCTTGAGAAATTCTAAAAGAACAACATGACCATAACACCCAGACTGCCACTAGGCTTCCACGTCTCTCCATTACAATAATTTCATTGCACTTAGGCATTGATGATCCACACTAATGTGCAAATATATTACTCAGTAAGAGGCAAATGGTAAGGTACAGTAATATAATGGAAAAAGCACAGACATTAGAACAAGTAAAGCTTCATTGCTAAAATGAGCAAATCAGAGGACTCTAGATGTTGGCAAGGATGTGGAGAAACGGGCACCCTCCTACACTTTTGGTGGGAATCTAAACTGGTGCAGCCCCTGTGGAAAACAGTGTGGAGATTCCTCAAAAAATTAACAATAGAACTCGCCTATGACCCAGCAATGGCACTGCTGGGAATTTACCCAAGGGATACAGGAGTGCTGCTGCATAGGGGCACACGTACCCCAGTGTTCATAGCAGCACTCTCAACAATAGCCAAAACATGGAAAGAGCCTAAGTATCCATCAACTGATGAATGGGTCAAGAAGATGTGGTTTATCTATACGATGGAATACTACATGGTAATGAGAAAGAATGAAATCTGGCCACGTGTAGCAACGGGGATGGAACTTGAGGATGTTATGCTGAGGGAACTAAGTCAGGCAGAGAAGGACAGATACCATAAGTTTGCACACATAGGAGGACTAGGAGGAACTTAACGGAGGACCGTGGGGGAGAAGAAGGGGAAACATAGTGGGGGAGAGGGAGGGAGGCCAACCATGAGAGATTCTTGAATGCTGAGAACAAACTGAGGGCAGATGCGGTGGGGGGAGGGGGAGGGGTGATGGGCATGGAGGAGGGCACTTGTGGGGATGAGCACTGGGTGTTATATGGAAACCAACTTGACAATAAACTATTTAAAATAAAAAATAATTTAAAAATTTTTTTAATGTTTTTATTTATTTCTGAGAGAGAGAGAGAGAGCGAGCAGAGGAGGGTCAGAGAGAGAGGGAGACACAGAATCTGAAGACAGGCTCCAGGCTCTGAGCTGTCAGCACAGAGCCCAATGTGGGGCTCGAACCCACGAACCGTGAGATCATGACCTGAGCTGAAGTCAGATGCTTAACTGACTGAGCCACCCAGGTGCCCCTAAAACTTCATTTTGAAGCCAGGTTACACGAAACCCCAAATTTGGGTATTGAGCTACAATATCTGTAAAATGAGAGTAATAGTACTCACTTTGAAGAATTATTTTCTCAAATTTTTTAATATTTATTTATTTTTGAGAGAGAGATACAGAGTGTGGGTAGGGGAGGGGCAGAAACAGAAGGAGAAGAATACAAATCAGGCTCCAGGCTCCACGCTGTCAGCACAGAGACCAACGCAGAACTCCAACCCACAGACCGTGAGACTATGACCTGAGCCAAAGTCAGATGCTTAACCAACTGAGCCACCCAGGCGCTCTTGAAGAACTGTTAATATGGGTACCTATCCATACCTTACAGTCACTAAAAGGGTAATGTGCTTAGCGCGTCTGGCACATAGGAAGTACTCAGTGGTAGCTCTTGGCATCATTAATAGTCTCTTATACTCATTACCACAGCATCCAGAGCAGAACCCTTAGGGTAGGGAAAGGAACAACCATTTGTTGAGGGCTCAGAGAAGTTCAGTAACTTATTTAAGTTCACGCAGCTAGTGAATAGCAGAGCATGTATCTGAACTCAGGACTCTCTAATTCCAAAGCCCAAGTTCTTGCTTCAGAAACCTGCTACCTTTTGTGTGTGTGTACCCAGCCCAGAAAAAAGTAGTCATTTGACAACCTTAATGATTCAGGGTGTTTTGGAAAAAGTCAACCCTGAAAGACTGTGATAATATTAAACTATATAAAAAGCTGTACACAGGGTGAGTTTGCTTTCATGCAGACCTAAAGGCATGCCAACAACAACAGAGCCCATTGGAAACCATAAACGGCGCAACTGTAGTGACATCTAGAATGACCTATTACATCAAAATGGATTATTCTAGAAAATTCCCAAGTCCCACCTGTGTCCCATCCTCCCGTAACTCCAGGGAGCTATCAGCACGCACAAGAGTGTCACAAAAGCAGCCTGTCACCCAGAAGCCCTGGCTTTGGGTTGATGTCCTTGATGGTTCTCTTCCTCCCTAGTGCTCCTTTCTAGTAAGCAAGGCCTGCGGGTTATCAGGACTGAGGGGAGAGAAAAAGCTGGTGGGGTAGGATCGGTTCTCGGCCCCTTCCTTGTCCCTATACCAACCGGGCAGCCAGGCCTCACTCTGCCTCTGGAAACATTTCTGTCCAAAGCTGGCTGCTTTCCAGAATCCTGAGCGCCTGGATGGGATTATGCATAGGCGGGAGGGGACAGTGCCTTGCGGGGCAGAAACGCGGAGGGGTCATTTCTGCTCGCTGGGTGTCTGGGAGACAGGGCGTCAGGGAAATGACTTCTTGGTGCACATAGGGAGCCTGGACACATGCATTTGGGACCCCGGCCTAGACAGAAGCCCCCTCCCCACCTCACCTCTAGTGCCCCATGGGCCCAGGAGCCACAGAGAGGCCCACCTTCTGGGGACCGTGTGGACTCAGACGGTGAGGGGAGCAGGGACGATCACAGTGGACTGAAGGCCCTTGGACGGTCCTCCTCCTCCCATTCTTGGGCGACTGGCCGGAAGAGGAGAGGCCCGCTAACAGTCTATGGGATCGAACCTCCCTTCACTTCGGTGCGATGGTGGGAAGATGCGGGTTTACACTGCCGCCTGGGAGCAAACCCGCGCCGCGCCGGGATACACACCACACAGGAGACACAGCAGGCCGGTGCACACTCTTTATTGTTACACTCAGAAACCTCTGACAAGAGTTTGAGCTTGGTGAGCTGGGATTTCCTGGGGGAACTCAAGAACACCTGTTGTTGAGACTGGAGACCGGATAACTTCCCCCTCCCCCTCTTCACAGGCTCTCTGCTCCTCCCTACCCCCTCTACCTCAGGGGAGCGGAGAGCCTGTGAAGAACACACCCAGTGGAAGAGAAGGGGACCTGGGGGGGGGGGCATTCTCAAAAATGCTTGTGCCAATTCAGTTCTTTTTTAATCCAATTAGTCTTCCCAAGAGAAGCACCGTCCATAGGACAATGTCTGCTCTTGGAATCCATTTTGTTCTTCATCCACTCTTGACTGGAAAGGGGCCTGGGGTGGTGGTGGCCCAAAGCTGAGGGCTTGAGTGTGTAGCCAACCTTCCCCCAAGCACTTTCTCTAAGTCACCCAGCCATCTTTCAGGCGATATCTGTCCCTCTCGAAGGAGGAAATCAGCTGAGTATTAGAAATGTCCTGCCTGGTCTGGGTGGCTCAGTAGGTTAAGCGTCCGACTTTGGCTGAGGTCATGATCTCACAGTTTGTGAGTTCAAGCCCCGTGTCAGGCTCTGTGCTGACAGCTCGGAGCCTGGAGCCTGCTTCAGATTCTGGGTCTCCTTCTCTCTCTGCCCCTCCCTACTTGTGCTCTGTCTCTCAAAAATAAATTTTAAAAAAAAGTTTAAAAAAATAAACTGAGGACTGATGGGTGTTGGGGTGGAGGGGGGAGATGGGCATGGAGGAGGGCACTTGTGGGGATGAGCACTGGGTGTTATATGGAGACCAACTTGACAATAAACTACTTGTAAAAAAAAAGAAAAAAAAAAGAAATGTCCTGCCTGTACTTTCATGAAGCCACTTTCCTGATCTTTGCCACGGCTCACTTGTCTCACCTGGGAACAATTTGATGAGCAATTTGGTGACTCAAGTCCTTTCATGAAAGTCTCTGCTGTTACTCCCACAAAAATATCTGGATGTTATTTCAATTGGGTTTCCCTGAAAGCCACACTATATGCAAGGCAAAGAAGTCCTGATATAATTTGTATCCCAAATTAGGCTCTCTCCTGTTATCTAACCAAACTCATCAAATCAAGTTATAATGTGTACACCAGATATTAACACGTAAGTCTAGCTCTTAACACACACCAGACAATAATGATTTATGTAATGAATTAAATGTAATCCATCCAATTCGCTATCATCTATAGAATTTAACACTGCAACACCCACCCCCCCCAACTCTTCCAATTAATTCCTTGTCCCAACAAAGAAATTAAATTCTAACAAAGTTATTTTGCCCCCCTTTCCCCCTTAATGAGTGCCAAGGCATCTCTTCTTCCCCGAATTCCTCTCACTCTTCTCAGCTCCAGCCAATGGGGGTCTCAATGAGGTGTGGGTCAGCAGGGATCAAGTGTGATTTCTTTAAACTCTTGGGAGATCTTCTAATGGGCCAGGTTCAGCTTCTTCGGCAACAGACAAGATCTGTGGGACTCAGAGACACAAAAACAGGCCCTCACCTATAAAACTTAGAAAGAAGAAGCAAACATGAGCACTGCAGTAGTTTTACTGCAGGGATAATAGCATTTTCAAGGAAGGAAATAATAGCATTTTCAAGGAAGTGAAGGTGCTCCTAAAATTCAATATAGTTATAACTCAAAAAATGCATGGCTGTTTCCAGCTAAAGACACAGCATTTTCAGAAAAAAGGATATTAATAAGAAAACAGAAAAGAGCTGGAGGGTGGGGCGGGGGAAGGCTTCATGACTTCGGCTTCTCCCGGGTGTCCACCAATCAGCATCAGCATTCAGAATCCACTACCTGCGAATTTAAAGTGCAATGAAGAGAAATTCCTTTTTAAACAGTATGATACTCAAAAGCAATGCTGTTCAAGTAAATTTTAAAAAGTATATAAATACATACGTATTTATGTGTGTATGTAGTACCCACAATGATAAAAATTGTTAGTTTGGGTAATGGAATAATGGATTATTTTAATTCTATGATAATTTTGGTTTTCAAGTTTTCTGTGAGGTAAATAAGTTACTTTTTGATCAGAAGAGGGTCTTATGAAATTGGTTTTTCTTTGGAGTGTTTTCATTCTTACTTACCTTCCTCAAGTCAGTGAGTTTGTCCTGAGTCCAGGCCTCTACTCTCAACTTCCACACAGACTTTCTTGCATTTATAGCAGGTCTTGCACCGTGAAAAATTCATGGCTTTACACCATGGGCACTCCCAATTCACTGGCCTGCAGCCTGAGGCCGACTTCTCCTGGTGCCGGAAATCCAAAGCTTTTTTCCTTTTTGGTTGCTTGGCCTTCTGCCCTTGAGGCTGCTGTTTCACTGGCCTTTCCCTCACACCACAGCTCCGGCTGTCCCCCAGGAGGTTCGCCTGGGGCCTCTGTAAACCTTCTTCCAGGCTGTGGCTCCCCCTAAACCCCAAGGGGTACCTCTCTGGACCTTCCTCCTGGCTATAGTTTCCACTGGCCCCCAAGGATAGCATCTCCTGAGGCCTGTCTAGATCTTCTTCCTGGCTATTGCTTCTGCTGGCAACAAGGGGGGCCATCCCTTGGGGTCTTTTGGGACATTCTTTCTGGCTGTGGTTCCCACTGACTCCCAGGGGTACCATCTCCTGAGGCCTGTCTGGATCTTCCTGACTGTGTCTCCCTTTGGCCCCCAGAGGTACCATCTCCCGGCGTCTCTCTGGATCTTCTTCCTGGCTGTTCATCCTGCTGGCACCAAGGGCAACCGTTTCCTGGGATTTCTCTGAACCTTCTTCCTGGCTGAGGCTCCAGCTATCCCCAAGGGGAACCATCCCCTGAGGATTCTCTGGACCTTCTTCCCGGATCTGGCCCCGGTTATCAAGGAGTACCACCCCCTGGGCCCACTCTGGACCTTCTTCCTGGCTCTGGCTCCAGCTGTCCCCAAGGGGGACCATTCCTTGGGCATTCTCTGGACTTTCTTCCTGGCTCTGATTCCAGCTATCCTCAACAGAAACCATCCCCTGGGCCCACTTTGGACTTTTTTTCGGGCTCTCGCTCCAGCTATCTTCAACAGAAACCGTCCCCTGGGCCCACTCTGGACCTTCTTCCTGGCTCTGGCTCCAGCTATCCCTAACAGGAACCATCCCCTGAAGCCTCTCTGGACCTTCTTGGCTAAGGCTTCTGGTGTCCCTCAGGGGGGCTGTACTCTGGTGGATGGCAGGATCTTCCTCCTGGCTGTAGCTCTGCTGGTCACACAGTGGGGCCATCACCTCTTGGTAGCCCACTGCAGCACTTGGACCAGGTTGGTCGACCCTTGGAGGAGGCATCTGATGTGGAACTACTGTAGCCTCTGCATCCATGACCACTGCTGGTGGCGGAGGTGGCAAGATTGGGACTCCCACTGGGAATGGTGCATGGAATGAAGGCAAGTACTGCACAGGCACTGGCAGAGGGGGCTGTACGGCCTGAGCCCAGGGACTTGGGGGTCCTGGCATGTAAAGAACAGCTGGTGGGGCATGCGACCCCATGGCAACCGCATCTCTCTGCTGCTCTGCATTCCAGGGCCATGCTACAGCTCCAAGTTGCTCGGCTGGAGGCCCAGGCACTATTTCATGGGCCCACGGGATGAACTGGGATGACCTCTCCATCTGGAGCAGCCGCCCATGAAGCACATCAAGCTCCCTCAGAGCCTGCTGCAAGGCAGCCTGTGAGGATCTCAGTCGTGAGATTGCCGACTCGCGCTCCATGCGCAGCCACTGTAGCTCGGAAGCCATGCCCCGGGCAGCCATCTTGCGCTCATTCAGTTGGTCCTGAAGTCGCTGGACCCAGTGCCCCTGCTGCTCCCGCTGCCTGGCGCCCACGCGCACACTCAAGGCGAGCGCGCTCCACGTACAGGCTCTCTTGATGGCGTGCGGCACCTGTGGGTCGGCCAGGACCGCCTGGAGCCGGTCCTCTACCTCATTCCAGGGCCGCGAGCGGAAGGCCGCGTAGAAATCTGGGCCGCCGCCGTTCATGAGGACTTCATCGTTGATGAACCTGATCACCTCAGTGTGGCGGAACCCGCTGGCGGGGTCCCCTAAGTCAACCGCCATGGCTGCTGCGGCCTACTGGGCGGACGGCTGCGGGCCCAGCTAAGCAGCCGTCTCACAGGCAATGCTGTCACTGCCGCCACCAGTAAAGGTCCTCTCCTCACCTCCCCAGTCAGTCCTACTTCGCTCCTTTTCTAGTCTGGCCTCCTTTCTCAGCCTCTTTCTTCTCTCACAACCTCACTTTCTCCACAAAGAGCAAAACAGATCCCCTCACCACACCAGCCCCACCAGGCGACTGTGTTACACGTCACAGAGACGATCTTTAAGCCACCTCGCAAGGCCTGCTGGGATCCACGTCCCTCTGAAGAGCGCCGCTTACAGGGCTGACTGGCTTACAGGCTGGATGGCCGCACAGGGTACTGCAGCGAGCCTGTGTCAGAATTTGCTTCTAAGAACTTCAAGACAAATACCCAGCATCGCGGAATGAAATCCTAGTTGGGTGTCAGCATTGAATAGTTGGGTGCAGTTCTATTCTTCTCTCAGCTCTAACTCCCCTAACTCTTTGGTACTCCTTCAAACTTTCAATACAGTCAGTCACAATGCACATTTCCTTCGTCATTCTGAACAGATGAACCTAGAGTCCCTGTCACCAAGAAAATCCAGTGATTGAGCCATGAATTCCCTGAACTTGCCCTATAAATTCACTCTCGCGTTTACCTGATTGACGGTTCTCAGAGGGTGTCTCTCTTCTTCTGTTAGAGTAAATGTGCCTCGTATTCTGGGTTTTCCCTACAAGAAATGCTGAAGAAGTGCCTTAAACTGCACTGAATAATAACTGGAAGCCACACAAAGAAACAAAGCACATGCTAGAGGTAACTAAGTATAAAAACTGTATTCATGCATTTTGAAACTCTTTTTAAAGTACAGGGTTTGAAAGATGACTGCATACGGCGCCTGGGTGGCTTAGTCGGCTACGCGTAGGACTCTTGATTTCAGCTCACGTCGTGATCTCACAGTCATGGGATCCAGCCCCGGAGCCCCGGGTTGGGCACTGCGCTGACAGCACCGAGCCTGCTTGGGATTCTCTCTCCCTCTTCTTCTGCCCCTCCCCCACTCATGCGCATGTGTACGTGGGCACACTCAAAACAAAAATTCAGAAAAAAACGTGACTGCGTAAAACAAATCTTTAAAGATATGATTTGTGGCAATAACAATATAAGCTAGAATGAAAGATTTTCTATACTACTTGAAATTAAGCTTGTATTTAATCTAAAATATACTGTTACAAGTTAACATGTTAATTGCAATCTCAGAGCAAACACCAAGAAAATAAACAATACACAGAAAACGAAATGTGAAGGAAATAACAATTGTTAACAGAAAAAAAAAAAAGGAATCAATGAAACACAAATGAAGGCCATAGTGCAGGAATTGGGATAGAGGGAGATATAAGACATATTAGGAAAAAAGTGGCAAAGGGCACCTGCATGGCTCAGTTAGTTCAGTGTCCAACTTGATTTTGGCTCAGGTCATGATCTCGAGGTTCATGAGTTCAAGGCCTGCACTGGGCTGTGGGTGACAATGTGGAGCCTTCTTGAGATTCTCTTTCCCTTTTTCTCTACCCCTCCCCTGCTCATGCTTCCTCCCAAAAGAAAAAAAGAAAGAAAACAAATTGCAAAATGCTAGAAGTCCTTCCTTATCAGTAATTATATTAAATGCAAATAGTTTATAATTAACAGAGACTGACAGAAGAGATAATATATTTTTTAAACAGGATACAAGAGATTCATTTTCCATTCAAAGATGCAAGCTGGCTGAAAGTAAAAAGGTGGAAAAGCCTATTCTATGCAAACAACTGAGATCTAGAGTGGTTCTCCAAATATCAAACAAAGACTTTTAAGACAAAAATTGTTAAAACATAAAAAAGGATATATCATATGTTTAAAAACAGGCAATCCCCCAAATGAGATTTATCTCTGGAAAACAAAGGTGACTCAGTAAATGAAAATCATTCAACGTAATACACTACATTACTAGAAGGAAGGAAAAACCCCATGTGATCATTTAATGACACACAAAAAAGCGTTCAAAAAACTGCAGCAGATTTTCATGAGAAAAATGTCTCAGAAACCAAAATAGATAAGAAGTTCCTCAACCTGAAAAAGGGCATTTGTGGAAAATCAGCAGCTGACATTATACTCAAAGGTGAAAGACTCAAACTTCCCCACTAAGATCAGGAGCATACAAGGATGCCGCTTCCGCCACTGCAGTTCAACACTATCCTGAGACTTCTAGCCAGAGCAATTAGTCAAGAAAAAGGAAATAAAACGCCTTCACATTAGAAAGGAATGAGTAAAACTCTCTGTCTTCATAGAAGACACGATCTTCTACATGAAAATTCCCAAATAATCCACAATAAAGTTACTAAAACAAATAAATTCAGCAAAGTAGGAGCATACAGGATCAACATGTAAGAATTAGTGGTATTTCTGTATACTAGCAATTCCAGTTCCAGAAAAATTAAGAAAACAAGTCCATTTTCAATAGCGTCAAAAGACTAAAATACCTAGGAATACGTTTAACCAAAGAGGTACAAGACGTATACACAGAAAACTACAAAGCCTTATTGAAAATAATTACAGAGGGGCACCTGGGTGGCTCAGTCAGTTAGGCATCCAACTTCGGCTCAGGGCATCATCTTGTGGTTTGTGGGTTCAGAGTCCTGCATCAGGCTCTGTGCTGACAGCTCAGAGCCCAGAGCCTACTTTGGATTCTGTGTCTCCCTCTCTTTCTGCCCCTCCCACACTCACGCTCTGTCTCTCTCTCTCTCAAAAATACATAAACGTTAAAAAATTATAAATTAGTAAAAGAAAACCTAAATAAATAGAAAGATGCCTTGTGCTCATGAATTGGAAGATATCATACTATTAAGAGAGCAACACTCTCCAAACTGGTCTGCAGATTCGATGAAAACTCCACAAGCCCTTTTCTTTTGCAGAAATGTAAAAGCTGATCCCAAAATAAGGTGGGCAAGAGACCCTAACAGCCAAAATGATCTTTAAAAAGAAAATTAGGGGCACCTGGGTGGCTCAGTTGGTTAAATGTCCAACTCTGGCTTTTGGCTCAGGTTATGGTCTCATGGTTCATGGGCTCAAGCCCTGCATCAGGCTCTATGCTGTCAGCACAGAACCTACTTGGGACTCCCTCTCTCCCTTTCTCTCTGCCCCTACCCGCTCGAGCTCTGTCTCAAATAAATAAACTTTAAATAAATACATACATATACATAACTACATAAAGTTGGAGCATTCGTACTTCCTGATTTCAAAACTTACTACACAAGGTTAGAGGATCAAAACAGAGTGGTACCGGCCTAAAGACAGACAAGCAGATCAATGTGATGTGATAAAATTGAGAGTTCAGGGGCGCCTGGGTGGCTTAGTCGGTTAAGCGTCCGACTTTCGCTTGGGTCATGATCTCGCGGTTCGTGGGTTCGAGCCCCGCGTCGGGCTCAGTGCTGACAGCCAGATCAGAGCCTGGAGCCTGCTTCAGTCTGTGACTCCCTCTCTCCCTGACCCTCCCCTGCTCACGCTGTCTCTCTCTCTCTCTCTCTCTCCTAAAAATAAATAAAACATTTAAAAAAAAAATTGAGAGTTCAGATATAAACCCATGCATCTAAAAACCCATGATTTTTAAGAAGGTGCCAAGACCACTCAATGAGGAGGCAATAAGCCTCCAACAAACTGCTCTGGTATTAACTGGGTATTCACATATAAAAGCATGAAGGTAGACTGTTACTTCAGCCCATATACAAAAATTAACTCAATTTTTCTTTGTTTTGTTTGTTGTTGCTGCTTGTTTGAAGTTGTTGCTTTAGTTACCTTTCTAGAAGTTTCTATTTTTTTTTTAACCATATATGGCCACGGAGGTCTGAGTTCCATTAGCTCAGTGGTAAGCTAATGTATTGACAGACTATCTATAAGCACTTGAAGCCCCAAAATATTTTTTTTACAGAAGTTTAAAAGCTCCCCCACTCTTTGGAGATTTCTTCTGTGCTGTGACCCTCCCTCAGTGCGTAGCCAGGCCCTTTACAACAATGCTTTCACCCTTACTCCCTGCTTGTAAGGAGCCTGAAGGTCATCTGGAGGTGAAAGTTTGGGATCTTCTTTGAGGATTAGGCCTTTTCTGAGGCCTAATCTTGGGCACATACTCTAGTCGGCACCTGGGTGGCTCAGTCCGTAAAGGGTCTGACTCTTGATTCTGACTCAGGTCATGATGTCAAGGATGTGAGATTGGGCTTCATGCTGAGTGTGGAGCCTGCTTAGGACTCTCTCTCTCTCTCTCTCTCTCTCTCTCTCTCTGTCTCTCTCTCCCTCCCTCTGCCCCTCCCCCACTCATGCTCACTCGCTTGTGCACGCGCTGGCTCTCTCTCTCAAAAAAAAAAAAAAGCCCCCCACTTCCCCATATGCCTCCTTTCCCCCTCTCTTCCCAGCCTTTTTGATCTGTCTCTTGCTTGTCCTGACTGCAATCCCTTTCCCCAGGCTGCTAGGGCCAATTCTTTTGCCTTTAAGTGCTTTTGCCAAATGCCATCTGGGAAGCTACCCCAGACCTGGAAACACTCTGAGTTGGGCAAAACATAGGCAATTCCCTTGGGCACCAGTCCTTCAGGGAGCCACCAGGCAGGTGGAAATACACAATCACATTTCGGTGAGAATGAGGTCTGTATTGCTCCCTCAGGTACTTGGCAACCTGCACTAGAAGCACAGGCTGCTGTCTTCACGGCCACCTCTGATCTGGTACGTGGAGAAGGGGAAGTAGATCATTTAAAACATAGCAAACTCTCTTGCTGCAAGGCACCCACTTCTTTCACTAAGTTTTGCCCTGGTTGTTGGAAATTTCCAACTAGACTCCAGAGTTCTGTAAAAGTTGATTCTGACAGTTTTTGCCAGCTCGTTGATGGAGGGATGGAGCCTTGGAATTTCCTATTCTCTCCTCCTTTTTTTGTATAAGGAACACTGTCATAGCCAAAAAAACACGAATATTTCAAATAAGATTAATTTCATTTC